TTCTTATTTTTGGGGAGGGGGCTTTTCTGTGTCTCTTTTTTTCTCTTTCCGGTCTTCCTTTTCTTTTTCTTTTTTTGCTCCGGACGTTTTTGAGTGTCGCCGACACTATGAGAGCTTGGAGCCTCTTCGAACGACCTCCCCCTCCGTTTTAGGCTGGTTCAGGCGTATGTGTTTTCAACTGCACTAGACGGCTCCTTGTGTCCCACTATGAAGCGTTGCGCGGATCTCGGTAGTCATATCAATGACCTCATTGTAAACGCTCATAAGCGGTCACTACGCAGTCGGTTATGCGCAAACGGAACTGTCTGAACCAGAGTGTCGAGCCAAAAATTTTATCGGTTCGGTTCGGGCTCACGGCTTTTGGTCCAGTTCCCGTTAATCTCTGGGAACATAAATAAAAACCGGTTTGAACCGGTTTGAACAGCTAATTTGGGAATACATTTTCCGCGTTATTTTGGCAATAAGTACTATTTCCGCCGTCAAACGAGTAACAATTTTTTTTCTTCAGAGGTACAATCCACCTTTATTTCCAGGCACCGAAAATTAGAACTAGCGTTATTTAATTTTGACATAAAAGTAAAAGAAAATCGTTAACAGGCAAAACGTCGTGTTCATATGACCAAACATCTATTTGTTCACCTGAGTCACATATATTTTAACCTAATGGAAAGGTAGTCACAAACTTTGGTAGCTCACCTAAAATACCCGTGATTGATACAACTTTCCATCGCAGTATTAAAAACTGAACCGTAGTTGTGCTCTTGAACTAAGGAATCGGAGTGCATACAAAAGGGAATGGGTATCTCGTTGTCATATATATAATTAATCATAGTTTACGAAATACGTTTTATAATAAACAGGGTGTGGCTTTAAGGACAAACATATTTAACACGCCTTTCAAAATTCGAATTTCAAAAGAAAATGCCTGAATTAGGGCACGCCTGCATAGCTTTGCCAAACGTTTTACGTCATTTTTTTCCCCCTTTAAAGCTCATTTTTGAGGTAGTGACGTATTAAAAATAAAGCAAAATTGGAGGTCGTGCATTTTTCACGTCCTCTCCTATACCAGCCTGTTTGTTGTCTGCACACTGGTTTATGAGCTCGCTCCCGGGTGGCTTGCTGCACGCAAAGAACGCTTAAAAGAATAAGAGAGGCTGTCAATGAGCAAGATAATCGCGATAATTAGTACTTTTAACAAAATATATGAACGATGACCACCTGGGAGCAAGCTCATAAACTAGTGTGCAGACGACCAACATCCGGCAGTAGGGTATAGGAAATGTACGACCACCGTTTTTGCTCTATTTTTAATATTTTACTACCTCTGACTTTAGCTCTGAAGAAATAAAGAAAAAAAAATACAATTTTTCGCGAAACTACGTCGCCTATCCAATTTCAAGATGTCCGTTTTGAATTCGAATTTCGCAAGGCGTGCCAAATCCGTTAGTCGTTACGACCACACCCTGTATTTGATGACAACGCAACTGAGCTAAAAGCAGTTCAAATATTTATGACAAACGCATGTATTCGTAGTCACATTGGGCCAGTGACACACCTACACTGAGCAGCAATCAACACGCTTGTCTTCCTGACCAACAGTTTTACACTCAGCACAGTGATGCAGGCAAAGAATAATATAGAAAGGAGTGATCAAAATAGCTCACTCTCACTACCTATAATTTAAACGCACATTTGTGCTGAGATCGAATCTGGCCTAAAATAGCGCATATCCGAGTGAACATTTTCCTTTACAGGATAGATTGGCATAGCATGGCTGTGGAGGTTTGTTCTTGACAAGCTGCCGGTCAATTTAATTTGAAAATAATCATCAGCCTTGCTAGTTGATATTTCATTTTATAATGAAGAGAGAAAAAAGACATTCCAAAATTTTGATCACCGTTTTATATAACTAACAGTAAGCCGAATAGCAATGACTGTCGGAATAAACAATCAACGCCCGAATATAAAAGTCTGACAGAAAACATAGTGGCATGCATTAAAAGGGGTGATCGTCGAGTGCTTTATTAAAGCCATTGAATATGAAAAATCAGAGGGCAGTGTGTTTCAATAGACCTTTTGCCGAATTATTCAATCATCAGAGGAATGCCGGGAAAGTAGGTACAGGCGCTGCGCGTGCTGGCGTCTGCAACCAGAACTGTTTAAAAGCAAAAATCTGAAACAAATAGCACGAACGCTTTATTTTAGTCAATACTTATATTACTTTGTAAAGGGAAAGCGAGCGCGTGTACCTACGTTCCCAGCATTCTGTATGATGCTAGGGTAATTTAGATAAAGGTCTATTAGATATGTAGAGCGTGGAAAAAATAAAAAAACCTAAAAAATGTTAGTTCGAGCAAATATTGGCTGAGGAGAAAATTCATAATAGTTCCTAGAACAAAAGAGTATTTCACGCTCTACTCGACATTGCATCTACTTAATTGGTCACTTTCGCGACAGTGTGTGTGCGTAATCTTCATAGTTCCATCACGCATCCCTGTGTACTTCGTTTTTGTTCAGCCCAAAACAAACAAAAAACTGCTGCTTATGACATAAAAGAGACATTACCAAATTTCTATGTGTTTGAAAAATTAAATATGTCCCAGGAACACATAGTTATTTAAAGCTCTCCCAAATCACTTTGGGCCTTTGAGCAAAGAAAAAAAAAAAAGGCCGGAAAAGATTTCAAGAGAATTTTTCAGATAATTCGCCACGGTCGATCACCCTCGGGTTATTTTCAACGTGATCAACATCCACCAGCTCGCCTGTACATTCAACGCTTTTGCGTAAAGCTTGAGAAGTTGTTCATGTATGATAGCTCAGAACAATTTGGCATATCTTCATATGTGCGTCCACCGCGAAATCGTATAGCATCGATTGTTTGGCACACGTGACGGAAGAAATTAAAGTTCTTCCAAATTCGTCACGCGTCACAAGCTCTGTAATATAAATTAAGACATATAACATATTAAAATTACCCAAGGCTGTGGTAAAAGATGGGAAACTTTGTGGAAGAAAAATGACACAGGAAGGACGTCTCAAAGTTGAATGTAGTTTCCCATCTTTTACCACAGTCTCGGGTTATTTTCCATTCTCAGGCTTCTTGTTTTTGGGGCCTTTCCTACACAGATTACCAATAATAAAGCCAATACCTTTGCAGAAGACACCGAGAACGCCTGTATCGACTCGACGCGTAAACAGGATGTGATGCCTCTAGTGCGTACGTTGGAAAAGCGACACCGACAAACGAAACATAACGTCTAATGTCTCCAGTTTTCCCGCAGGATGGTGCTGCGCCTAACAAAGTCACTTAGGTCGTATATCAGTAAGTGACCGTAAATGGATGTCCAAATCATTGTGGGAGCCGCCCGCTCCACTTCCCTGATTAGGCCCTATGGCCGCGGGAAAAGCACTCCGAGCTGTCCACCTGTCAGCCGGAGCGCCCCGTTTCGTCCCTCGGAGGAGCAGCCATCTTGCCTGCTTACCCTCGCGTCGCATACCTCCCCCCCCCCCCCCCGTGCCCCCCTCCCCCCCTTGCGGCGACACGTGAAACGTCCCCCTGGCGGTTGGACCTTCTTGGGTCCGAGGCTGAGGCCGCCAGCAGAGAGGAAGAGAGAGGGGGGCCTTGCGCCCCGCTCGAGGGGACTGCTCGCGGGGACATCCAACTGTTCGGACGTGTGGCCCGGCCCTCCCTGACGGCCCACCTCCGAGCCGCTCTCGGGGAGGCACGACAAGGTAAGGTCTGTTCTTTCCTGGTCGCCCTTAGCGTGTTTCTTATCTGTATATGATTAACACGTAAAATAAACATCCGATTATCCCTTGCCTTCGGCGTGTCCGTGTGCTCCCTTTTGGGAGTCCCGGCTAACGGTTGCAGCCGACAGTCGAACCCGCCGCAGGGCTCAGCATGTTACGCTGTGGAGTGGTAGGTTGAGCGGTCGGCCTCCTTGCCGGACGCCCTCACCCCTTTGAGACCTCCACAATCTACAAAATATAAAATGAGAAAAAAAAAATGGCTAAGAGAGTAATTATATTTTTAGACAAAAAAAAAAACAAAAAAACTCGTGATTTTGATTGACCGTGCATCGAAATGTCCGTGTACCAAAATGTCCGCGCACCAAAAAGTCCCACATCAAAATGTCCGTGCACCGAAAAGTCCCTGCACCGAAAAGGCCGCATGAAAACGCCTTACATCGAAACGCCCTACACCGAAATGCCCGGATCCCGTGGCGAAAATGCAGACCACAGGAAGCTTTACAACGAAATACGTTTTTAACCCCCCCCCCCTCTTTTTTTTCTTCTTATTTTATTGCTTCTTCACAGAATACGCTTTAGTCCTGAGGGACTCCCTCCTCCGTTTGGGAAAGGGGTGATAATTCGACGATTATGTTTGTGTCACTCGTTCGCAGTAATTCTCCGTTGATTTTACTTTGCACCCAAAATATAAACAAAATATGGAGGTGGTCGAAGCTTGGGGAAATATTTGAAAATGACGCTGATCTTTCTTCTCAGGTATCCCTCCCATACATAGTTCCAGTTCTGTGCAACGACGAATTAATAAGTCACATTTAGTACTTTCAATTCTTCACGGGGACAACTATCTGAGGCATTTCAACAAGAACGAAAACATGTTTAGGTACCTCAAGGATGCTTACGTGTAAAATAGGTCGTGCAAATATTTTTCTACTTTCAGTAAATTCCGCTAAAAACTAATCCCTGACGTTGATAACTTGCAAAAACACTAATACCCATTAGTTTTCTTCTCCGCGCAATGGCAGACACGGAAAAAATAAAAGGAAAGAAACAGCTACCCCCCCCCCCCCCCCTCAACTCGCAATTAGAATAAGACGCCCCGTGAACTGACGCTAATTAGATACATACGTCAGTGTTCAGGATAGTTATGCGCCGGGGGTGGCAAAGCATAGAGCATGGGCTGAGCGTCGGATGTTAGAGTTCGGCTATTCTCATCTTTAACTAAACACGACCCATTACCCAAATGCTTCCAGAGGCTGATTGTCATCAACCCGAGCACTCGACTCCGGCTCATGACAATCGAGCACGTTAGGGTGCAACGCGACCTGCGGTGCGAAGTCCTGATATCATGTGACGTCACGGTGTCAACAACGCTAATAAATCTAGAGACGTTCTAAATTGAAAACCATTTGACGCAGTGTGTCACGCGACTACGTCACATGACATTACGAGGCCACATGACGTGACATTGCTTCACAGCATATCTTGACGACCCCCCATGCGAAGGCCATAAGAGCGCGCCTCTCTGCTCTAGACCGGCCATAGCCCTTCATGAGTTGGCAAACCAGCACACGTCAAGTGGCATATGGCACTGCGAGCCGATCTGGCACTCGCACAACCGTAAAACGCCGAGATGCCCCACCCCCGAAAGACAGCCCACCCCAATTTTTGCTTGATTACCTATATTTTTTTTAAACACCAAAAGATAGCCCACATGTAGTAATAGTAGAGTGTAGGATCAATGATATAGCCTCGACGCAAATGCAGCTAGTTAGCTATGGCAGGATATAAGCGAACATTGCTGACTGCAAAGTAGTCATCTTTGCTTCGTTGCCCCTCGCCCGGATAAGAAGCTTGGAAGGGACACACGACCTAAAAATAGGATTTTTTTACTTTTCTTGATTGCACACCGAAAGGAAGCCCACTCCATATTTTCACCCACTTTGCTCTTGATTTTAGGTGGGCTATCTCCCGGGATATTACAGTAAGTCCTTTTCCGTAAATTTTATTTTAAACGCCCGCGAGATGATAAGGGGCTACGTGAACGTAATAAACAGTGAACAGTGAGCTATGTCAACAATTGAGACACATTTGGACTTATTATTGCCACCAATCTGACTCATTCATGAAATATTTTCTTCGAAGATGGCCATTAAGTCTAGTTTCTGTTTTGAGGGGGAACTAATCGAAAAATTTGAATAGCTTCTCTGGATTTGGGACACATCAAGACACGACTATCGCGATAGAATAAAGCAGGACAACTCCTGGATTACCATCGGCAACCTCTTACGTATTCATTTCTTAACTTTTGTTTGAGTGAGGTACATATTGTGAGTACGTCAGCTGGATCGCCGCGCGAGCGTAGTTCAGATTTTGACTGTGAATAGGTGACCAGAGATCAACAAGCTAGTTTGTGTGCACCGTTTCTTAAACGCGTGAAAACAGCGCATTAGCGCAATAACACCTGGACATGTGTTTCAATTCAAAGCGCTCTTATCCCTCCCTGTGTCTGCTCCCTCCCCCGTCATCTCACCAGGGTGGAGGAAGCTGTGCTTCGGAGACTGCGGGCTTGGGTGGCCATTACACCGGCTGTAACCTGCACATGGAGCTCTCCACCCGTCACACGACAGGCGACATGCCCCAAGTGTCCCCTAGACGCGACGGAACCGGATGTGCATCACCTTATATGGACTTGTCCTGGTCTACAGACTGAGCGCACTCGCCTACTTATAGCTGCAGGTCTCCAACACAGTGCACCCACCAGCTACCATAAGTGGCTGCATAACAACCACTATCACAAGACATTGCTTCAATTCATCCATACCACAGGCCTTGTAGCATACATATAAGACATTTATGCCTAAAAGCAACCCCTACATAATAAAAAAAACTACTTTATTACTAACCAACTAGCCCAACTTTCTACTTCATTATTAACTAGCGACCTATTGCGTTGTCATGTGAATTGTCACGTCATTGTTGAATTGCTGTCGCTTGACACCTCCACTGACCAAGTTTTAACACGCACTAACATAAAAAAGCCTATCCTGATAGAAAAGTCGTTTTTGAGTTTTCCTGTACATCAAAGTCTCATCATTATTTCATCAAGCACATAAAGATGCAAAAACATTTAGTGCATTCTAGGTTAGCCATAGTAGTATTTGTAGACAAGTTCTTCTCTTCTACACGGGAGGGAGCCACCTCACCGAGAGAGAGCACGAGTATCGCGCAAGCGGCTTGGGACCGTTGACCAATGAGAGACACACACACGGCAAGCACTGTTACCTGCCATGTCTAGGCAAGCTCGTCGAACTCGAACTCAGTTCTCGGTCTTCTCAGTTGTATTAACTAATCGTTAATAAACGCTTTCATAACATGGTGTCAGAAACGGAACACGAAAACGCTCGCACGTGAAGTCAAGACCGATGTGAGTCGCACGGCGCAAGAGTTAAGGCAAGCGAAGACCAGCAGCGCAGAAAATGGCGGAAGACAGCGGCACCGCTACTACGCAGCAGTCGGGCAGGAGTTCGAACGTCCAACTTCCCATGCCGGGAGGGGACTTCGCAAGTTTGCTGCCTCCTCCGAAGCCACTCGACATGTCCGGAGGCCTGGAGACATCCTGGAGAACATGGTGGGACGAATTTAAGTTGTTCTCAACCGCCACTGCTCTGAAGTCGCAAGACGCCGAAGTACAGGCCGCGACGTTCCTAGTCGTCATAGGGGAAGACGCCAGGCGAGTCTACAAAACGTTCACGTTCGAAAACCCAGGTGACGAACTGCGCGTTGAGAAGATAGCGGAGCTTTTTGAAAAGCATTGCAAGCCAGCTATCAACGTGAGCTATAGGGACTTTGTATTCGGCACACGGAACCAGCATGACGGCGAACGATTCGATGACTGGCTTACTGAGCTGCGCACGCTGGCGAAGCAGTGCGATTTTGGCGAGCTACACGACCGCATGTTGCGAAGTCGAATGATTCTTGGAATGACCAACAAGCGACTGCAACAACGCCTCATCAACAACGATCCAACTTTGGAACAAGTGATTCAAAAGTGCCGCATGGAGGAACGTGGAGCCCTACAGTTCAAAGATATCCAAGCTGGAGCATCGCCTGCCGTTGTACATGGACTCAAGTCCGAGACATGCCCTCAATGGGGATACTCTACGCACACAAGCGGAACATGTCCTGCCAAAGGTACGAAGTGTAAAAACTGTGGTCGGAGGGGACATTTCGCTCGAGTGTGTCGCGCGAAGAACAACTTACCGAAAAATAGAGCATCACCACGGAAGAATGTTCGCAATGTTGAACGATGCAAATCTCCAAGTTCCAGCTCCGAAGAAGAAAAGTTGGTTTGTGGTCTATCCAACAGTGTTGGTGATGAACAGTTCTGGAGAGCTGAAGTCAGAGTTGCAGGAAAGGCAGTTGACAGCAGGGTGGACACAGGAGCAAACTGTTCTGTTATGTCTGCAACGCAACTGCGACGAGTCACGAACCAGAAACCGCAAGCAGTCACTACGAAAATAGGTTCGTTCTTTGGCCATGTCAGCAAAGCGGAAGGCCGCATTATGCTGCCAGTCGCCCATGGCAACCAGAGTACCGACGTACAGTTCTACATCGTGAAACGGGAAGTACCCACAACGATAAGCGCTACCCCGTTGCGGAACGACTGAACCTGATCAAGCGAGTGGCGTCAGCGGAAAAGCACTGCAACCAGACAGTAAAAGAACATGAGGACGTCTTCCATGGACTTGGTGAAATCAAGGGTGTCAAGTATCACATGAAGCTCAAGCCAGATGCTCAGGGTGTTACGCAACAGCCACGTACAGTCCCAGTAGCCATCCGAGACCAGCTGAAAAGCCACCTGGATGACCTCGTGCTACAGAAGGTGATTGCACAAGTGACAGAACCAACAGAGTGGGTCCACCCAATCGTGGTTGTGAAAAAGAAGGACAAACTCCGACTGTGCATAGATCCACAAGAGCTCAACAAGGTTCTCATGCGAGAGAACTACTGCATGCCTACACTGGAGGACATAGCAGCACGACTGGAGGAAGCCAAGTTCTTCTCGACGCTCGACGCAGCCACGGGGCTTTGGCAGATCAAACTAGACACACCGAGTTTGTACCTCTGCACATTTGCAACACCGTTCGGGAGATACAGATTTCTCCGAATGCCTTTTGGCATATCGTCAGCTCCCGAGGTGTTCCAGAAGACTATGCACGTGGTGTTTGAAGGCCTCGACGGAGTTGAAATCATGGTCGATGACATTCTTATCTGGGGAAGGACGGAAGAGGAGCATGACCGTCGACTGCAAGCCGTGCTGCAGAGGTGTTGTGAGGTCAACCTTAGACTGAACAAAGAGAAATGCAAGTTCTCTCAAAGCCAGGTCAAGTACTTGGGACATATCTTGTCACCTGAGGGACTCTCGATTGACCCGACGAGGGTACAAGACATCCTTGCGCTCCCAAGACCATCAAATGTGGGGGAACTGAAGAGCTTCCTAGGAGTCGTGAACTACCCTGGCAAGTTCATCCCGCACATGTCCGACACAAGTGCACCGTTAAGGCAACTCTTGAAGAAAGAGGCGGCCTGGTCCTGGACAGAGGAGCACGATAAAAGCTTCACAGCACTTCGAACAGCGTTGACTGTTGCACCAACTCTGCGGTTCTACGACAAGAACAAACCAGTAACTCTGTCAGTGGATGCAAGTTCCAGAGGAACGGGTGCAGTGTTGCTTCAGGAGGGTCAGCCAGTAGCCTACTCATCGAGGTCCTTAAATGACGCCCAAAAGAACTATGCCCAGATCGAGAAGGAGCTGTTGGCGATTGTCCATGGATGCAGCCGATTTCACGACTACATTTTCGGGCAAACCGTTACCGTGGAGTCGGACCACAAGCCACAAGAGGCGATCTTCAGAAAACCTTTGAATCAATGTCCTCTCAGATTACAAAGGATGAGACTGACCCTACAAAAATATGACCTGCTGGTGAAGTACACTCCCGGTAAAGAGCTGTACATTGCAGACACGCTGTCAAGAAACCCTTCGAAGGAGGAAGAGTCGGAAGTCTTCGAGGTGAATGTCTTGGAGTGTCTCCCTTTAAGAGATGAAACACTGGAAGAATGTCGTCAAGCAATCAGCAGGGACAAGGATCTGAGTACCATGCTGCAGTATGCAAAGAGCCAGTGGCCGAGCAACAAAGAAGACATTCCAGGCCCGTTAAAGACATAATGGCCGTACAGGGATGAAATCCATGAGGAGGAGGGCTTACTCTTCAGGTCGAATAGACTCGTCATTCCAGAAGAGATGAAGAGCGCCAGCTTGGCAAGGCTTCACAAAGCGCACAGCGGAGTAGAGAAGACGCTCCATCGTGCTAAAGAAGCTCTCTACTGGCCTGCA